CCAAATTCAATGGTACAGGTGCTGCAGCTTGAGAAACACAACCCACACTTTAGCTGGTGCATGTACGGCCTATCTGTGTGTCCTGGAGGCCTGAATGATACATTAACTCAGCGTACCTTGGACAGTCTGCACAAAGTTCATCTGTGAGAGGAGAGAGTTCATATGACGCTGTAGGCCACGTCCCACACATGACTTTGTGGGTTTGTGTTCCTGAGTCATGCCATATTGACATTTTGATCGAAAAATAATGTAAGCAAATTCTTCTGTTCGTTTTGGACTGTAAAGTTTTTGTCTTACGAGTTAAATAAAAGTCATGGGGTGAACTATTTTAAACATATAGTAACATAATGAAATATCATGAAATATGTAACATGCAAATTTCTCCATAATTGTGAGATCAATACAGTTTATCTTATCTTATTTGGAAATTGCTTCAAATATATTAGTTTTTATAAGTTTTAATATTGAGCCATTTTTATAATTACTTGAAGAGAAAACAAAAATATGGAAGCAAAAGGATGTGCCCTGAGTATGAAAAAAGATCATTTGGACAGAGAGGGCGGGGCTGAATTGAGCCAGAAGTTCATGATATTAGCGGAAGGAACTAATGGAGCATAATAAGTTTGTTTATTCAATTCGATTTAACATATTTATGTATAGCCCTAAATATTAAACAGCAGTCGTTTCAAAGGACTTTACAAGTTGTCGATTCAACAACAACAGATCAGAAAATCAAACCGTTGAAACACAGGGAATGTACTAATAACAAACACATTGGTCCTTATGGAACTGTCCAGAAATGTTAGTAGATTAGATTTTAGATTTATTTTTTATTTCAAACCTGCAGAACATAATGTCACATATCTTCACACTAATACAGGTTTAATACAGGTTTTACTCATTTGATATGTTTCAGTCCGTCTTTAGACCCCACCACAGCACTGAGACTGCTCTCGTTAAGGTTACAAACGATATCCGGCTGAACACTGACGCAGGCAAAGTCTCAATCTTAATCTTGTTAGATCTAAGTGCTGCCTTTGACACTGTCGACCATGAGATCCTCTTACAGGTACTAGAGGACTGTGTTGGAGTCGCTGGCACCGCCCTAAGTTGGTTTAGGTCTTACCTTGAAGACAGGAAGTACTGTGTGGAGATTGGAAACTGTGTCTCAGATCATATGGCCCTGACCTGTGGAGTACCACAGGGGTCGATCCTGGGACCTCTTCTGTTCAATCTCTACATGCTGCCGTTAGGTCAGTTAATACGCAGAAACGAAGTTTCCCATCATAACTATGCAGACGACACTCAGATCTATGTCTCACTGACTGCAGGAGAACATGGACCAGTGGACTCACTCCTTCACTGTATCCAACAGATCAGTGAGTGGATGCAAAACAACTTCCTTCAGCTAAACGCAGACAAAACTGAAATTATTGTCTTTAGTCCCAGAAACAAAGAGAGAGCGTCATCTGTCACCTACAGTCTCTCTCCCTAAAACCTTCAAACAAGGTCAGAAATCTAGGGGTAATACTGGACTCAGACTTAAATTTTAATAGCCACATCAAATCAGTAACATCAGCAGCTTTGTTTAAAAAACATTGCCAGGATCAAAAACATAGTGTCTAAAGCAGACTTAGAGATTCTTATCCATGCATTTGTCTCCAGTAGGTTAGACTACTGCAATGGCCTGCTCACAGGTCATCCAAACAGGCTGTAAAACAGCTGCAGTACATTCCAAATGCAGCAGCTCGAGTCCTGACTAGAACCAGGAGGTACGACCACATTAGTCCAGTTCTCAGGTCTCTGCACTGGCTTCCTGTGGTTCAGAGAATAGACTTTAAAACAGCTCTGCTTGTGTACAAGTCTCTCCATGGCCTTGCACCAAAATATATTAGTGACATGTTAGTCCCATATGAACCAGCCCGGACTCTGAGGAGCACAGGGACTGGACTCCTGTTAGTGCCCAGAGTCAGAACTAAACATGGGGAGGCTGCTTTTCAGATTCATGCTGCTAAAATCTGGAACAGTCTTCCTGAAGATGTGAGACAGGCCTCCTCAATGACAATGTTTAAAACCAGGTTAAAAACGGTGCTGTTTAGCTGTGCATACAACTGAGGGATTTTATATTTTTATCTTTCTTTTTAATGTTCTGTGATTATTTATGATTTTAATGCTTTCTTGTTTTGTTCAGCACTTTGAATTGCCTTGTGTATGAATTTTGCTATATAAATAAACTTGCCTTGCCTTGCCTTGCCAAGGGTTGGATGAAGAAGATACTTATTTGTTCCCAACCCCTCCCTCACCATTCAACACAATAACACACAGAATACAATGCAATTAATCAACATACAATATCAATACAAATTTGATAATGTGCAGCACCACATACCGTAGTATTTATGTCCTTAAATGTCCCGGATCAGAACTGTTCTACAAGGCCCTCCTCCATCTGCAGGGAATGACACAAAAAAATCTTGTTGTGAAAAAAGCGAGAAACCTCTGTGAGGCTAACAATGAGAGAGGGATCCGCCCTCACAGACGGACGTGCTGTAGAACCAGGACTCAGGCTGTAGAAAGAGGACTATGTGAATAATAATAATGCTTCAGCTCATCCATCCATTTTCTTCCCCTTAATTCATTTCTGGGTTGGGGGGTTGGCAGTCAGAGCTGCACCCAGTCACAGAGCACCAGCTCCTCACTGATCCTCATGCAGGTGGTGAATCCACAGGAGCTGAGATCTTTCAGTGGGGGCTACAGGCAAAGTGGGGTTAAGTTTCTTTCCCAAGGACACAACGACAGCAGTCATCAGTGGGAGTCGTGAAGTAGGTCTTGAGGTGGGCTCAAACCCACGACCTTCAGGCTCAAAGGCCAATGCTCTACCAACTGAGCTACTGTCGCCCCGCTTCAGCTCATATAGTGCTTTTATTGGACATTCAAAGACATCAATTCATTCACTTCATGCATGATGCTGATGAACTCCTGTAGCCACAGCTGCCCTGGGGCACACTGACAAAAGTGAAGCAACCAGTATGTGCAATTAGCCTCTTTGACCACCACCAACCACACACACACACACACACCAGACTCATATGAGGACGGTGAAGTGTCTTGCCTAAGGACATGTGGACAGCTTCAGAGGTCTGAAAAACCATCACAACTGGACAATCTGAAAAAGGTGGGAAAAAAACCCTACAACATAAACACAATGACCAGTATCTCTAAACGATTTGAAAGGTTGTTTAGTTAATTTCATCATTGGACAACACCATTTGTTCTCCTTTAATAGAACACTGACGTCATAATTGATTCATATTCGGTGGAGAGTTTAGATGAATCTGTATGTTGTAGACACAGTTTCCCATTTCATCAGTGGAATAGAGAGGGAACAGAAGCTGTCAAAAGCAGAACTAAAATACATTATTCATTTGAAAAACAACGTAAACAGGTAGTTCCAGTAAGGAATAGCGTGGAAACAGGTTGTGATGGTTTCTATTCTCAAAGCAGGTAAGAGCCAAGAGTCCAGGATCACACAGGACCAGAGCATTGACAGCAGTTATTTGTAAAACGATGGAGAGAATGAGAACAGACAGGCTGGTGTACAGACTGGAGAGAGCTGTGGGATGTTTACCAAATGGGTCGTTTAAAATGGTTTTATGTCAGGGAGAGGGACAATGGACTCAGTGTTGAAGCGAGAGATTAAGAAGGCTTTGTCAAACAAGGAAGGGGTAGTGGCAGTCTCTATGGATGTTGAGAAAGTCTACGACACAACCTTTAGCCACCAGTAGCTCGCCACCCCTTTCCAGGTAGCTCGCCAAAGGATTTAGAAATGAACAAATCAAATAATGTACTTAATATTTCAGATTATATCATTCATTAACTAGTAACAAATAGATAATGACTGTAATATCAGCAATATCACGCAGGTTCACACCAATATATCGCCACATTTTTCCCAGGGCCGCTTAAAGGAGTTGCTCTCTGCCTTTATCGACTCGGGAAAGTAGCTCTCTGGGGGAAAAAGGTTGGAGACACTAGTCCACGACATATGGAAAGAGGGTTTTGTTCTTGAATTAGGATTTTCTGCAAGTGAGGGGAGGGTATTGACTTTTCTGTGGATTTTGATACTGACAATGGTACGTCACAAGGCAGTGTCATCAGCCCTGTAAATTTTGATGATTAATTATGTTTTGGATCATCCTAGGGGTATGGTCTTTCTTTATTCGCATGTGATGATGGGGAAATTTGGAAAAGAGGTCGCAATATATCCTTTATTATGAAAAGGGTGCAAGAAGCCCTGGTGAAAGTGGTTAAGGTGGGGCTTTAAAATGTAAATTCAAAGACGTTGGTATCAGTGCACAATAGGACCTGTGGGGTGAAACTGGAGACTAGAGGACAAAATAGAGTCAAATCTTTTTAATTTCAAGTGTACATTTAGTCGAGAATCATAAATCAGATGCGTTATCTTTGATGAAGCTGTTGTGAAGCTGATATATGGAGCAACGGTCACGCCTCTTTTGATTATGGACACCGAGAATAAAGGTGCAGCAAAGACGACCCTGGAAAAACAGGAGATTGTTTGGGCCAAAGTTCTGAGAGTCGGCTGAGGGGCCCTCAGGACCGATCCTATACTTGCTCCTTTAGTGGAGTGTGGAGAGAGCTTTGAGAAGAGACAAGTTAGCATTACATCACATAAGAAGATTACAGTCAGGAATAACACGACCCTGTGAAGTGTCTTTTAGGAGAGGGTTGGGAGACAGAACTACAGGGAACCTTTGTTAATAGAATAATAGATATTTTCAAGGGAAGGGGAAAAAGGAAACTCACTTGCCCTTTCTGGAAGGTCCTTAATAGAGAAAAAAGTGTTTGAGGCACGCAAAGTCCTTCACAATCCCCCTGTCACATACGCTCACTGTGTCCAAAGACACATAGCAGCATTCACTAATGGGAGCTGGTTCCACACATAGACTGTATATATAAGTTCCACACCTGCCAACCTGCCAATGTCTTTCAACCTGGGGGAGGCAGCACTGCGTCAGGAGGCGTCGATACAACTAGAAGAAGAAGAAGTCCCCGGATGCGGAAGTGGAGTACACCAGCTGATGCTCACGTTTAGTATCTTTTCCTAAAAACACGAGGATAACTCTTTGACAGGTTTGTACACAATATATTCACAGAGGTGTGTGGGTGCTCCTGCGTGTGCTCCAGGTGCTCCGGGTGAAGTAGAGCCTGAAGGCTGAGAATGACTTGAAGAATGGCTCACACAGATGCGCCACAAACACCATGTGTCTGCTCCGAGAGTTCTCTCCATAACATTTATTATGTTCATCGCTATTATTCTCGATAAAAAAGAACTCATTCTCCAGTTCTCGATGCCGTTTGTGTGACATGGGCAATAACACATTTCCATATCTTTGGCATGTTCAAACTCTGGCCCGGGGGCCTTTGCGGTCCTGTCTGTTATGTCATGTGACCCTTTGCCGCTAACAGAATCATAACACAATTCTGATCATAAAGACAAGTCCATGGTGTCATCCAGCCAACTTCAGCTGACAACTGTTTTTGAATGTATCCTAATATTGTATATTTAGTGCTAATGTAGCTGTGGGGAGATTGTTAACACAAGTAATCTGTAACGTAGATCTCTGGACAATTGTTTTATAATCTGTGTTGTTGGCCCCTGGATAAGTCTGGTGAACAAAAGTGGCCCTCTTACTAATTTAGCTCCTTTCTGAACACTCACTCTTCACCTGGATAGTAGGTGGTGCTATTTACTACTTAGATTTTTTTTTAATCAAAACAAAACCGTCAAGATGTGTTTCTATATGAATTTTGTATAAATGCAGTAGATTTAGTATTACCTGATGATAATAATTTGGACAAATCTTGTATTGGCTATTCCCATAGATTGTTTAAGAGAGAGAGAGAGAGAGAGAGACAGACAGACAGAGAGAGAGAGGGGGAGAGAACTGGTCCTCACTTGCATGTGTATCTACTTCAGGTGAGCATGTCGTCCTACACGTGCATCAGCTGCAGAGTGGCGTTTGCAGACGCAGACATCCAGCGAGCTCACTACAAAAGCGACTGGCACCGCTACAACCTGAAGCGTAAGGTGGCCGACATGGCTCCGGTCACCGCAGAAAACTTCCAGGTATTGTGCATTCTTGTTGTGCCTTTCATGCTCCCAACCCAACCTAATAAATAAATGTATAATATTGCTATATGGTTGTTTTAAGGAAGCACCAGTATGAGTACTTTGTATTCAGTACTGGCAATACCAATATCAGGCATTGTTTTGCAAAGCTTGTTTTAATTGTAGTAAAATAACGCTGGTGCATATTTTTTATTACATAATTATTTTCAAGGCAAGGCACGTTTATTTGTATTGTATAATTATAAAACAGATTTTTAACAATTGGGGTGGGGACCGGGGAGGAACTAGACCAACTCAAAGTATGGTTTTGATGGGGAAATGCATCATCCTGAATGAGAATCTTGAATTGTGACCATCCTGCTTTCAGAGCAGAGTCCTCGCTCAGCGGGCTGCCGCGGAGGAGCAGCAGGCTGTCTTGTCCAGTACCCAGCTCTGTGACCTCTGCAACAAGAAGTTCTCCACAGCCAACGCCTTCCAGAACCACCTGCGCTCCCACAAGCACCAGCAGGCGGAGAGGCAGGCGGAGAGAGCGGCTCAGAGCCAACTGCAGAGACTCAATGAGAAGAACTTGGAGAAGGGATTAGGTATGCACGTTTCAGTATATACTCTTAACAGCCCACAGAGGATATTGTTTGGTTATAATATCTAAGATGAGGTAAGATAAGCTAAAGCTTGTTATATCTTATTATCTGTCATGTCTCTCAAGATACAGCAGTCTCATCTCTTTCTGTGTGTGCATTTGTGACTTTCTTTTGCCCACTGTACTAACGTCCAAATTCAATTCAATTCAAATAACTTTGTTTATTTGGGTAGAAATTCTTTTGCATAAATCAGACACGCACACAACAAGCAGAGTATGGTCCTGTGTGGCTGTATGTTCTTGGGTACATGACCAGTTTACGGCTGGGCACTCACCGTGTAGTCAATGCAGCGCACAGCCGCTGGACCCTGGACCCGCTCATTACTAAGCGGCCGCAGCTTCCCCAGAAGGCTATGGCCGCGGAGGAGGCAAGATCCTGTTTGAGTTTATACAGAAAACAACAGCAGTTGCCCTGCGGTCACGCTCACCCCTCAAACCTTTCTCAACGGATTTATACAATAAATCCATTTCGCAAAAATGTTTTTTTGTATGAATCAGACAGACTGGCCCAAATATGGGCATCGGCCTTCAGGCATTGCCCGGTACGCCCAATGGCCAGTCCAGGCCTGCATTTTGAGAACAATGATATGAGTTCCAGATTGGCATTTTCTTTCGTAGGTCCAGAGGAGATGGACAATGACACCAGGAATGCGGCCCTGCAGGAGGCGCTGAGGAAGCAGCAGCGGCCCAGTGTGTCCCAGCCCCAACCAGAGCAGAGTGCGCCCAGGCCCCGTGCGGACAGGCCCCCCCGCTGTGTGTGGCTGGAGGAGCAAGCCAAGAAGAGGGAGAAGGATGACCCCGCCAGCCCTGAACCAGGCACGTTAGCCACAGATCTCTGTCGTCACGTGAAAACCCGATAACATAAATTCACCAATTAAATACGATGCTTATTTGCTTATACGAATACTTATTTGTAGGGATGTACCGAATCCAGGTTTTTGGGGTTCGGCCGAATACCGAATCCACTGGTTAAGATTCTGCCGAACCCGAATACCGAATCCTATTCCATCCTCAGTCCATTGTTTCATACGCAAATGTTTCATACGCAAATGTTTTAACAGCGGTGGTGTTGTGTACTGTTTAGGGTCCTTATCACCAAGAGACAACTCGGCATTGCAAATTAAACATGTAGCTCGAACAGAATCTATTATTATAACATTTAAAGTGATAAAGTGCATATATTACTGTGCATGTCATGTAAAAATAAGAGCTAAAGCACCATACATGCGTAAATAGCTTCCACTGGTTCAGGTCAAAACATTATATATATGGACATTTGAGAAATATGCCAAACTCGTAGAGACAAGTTGAGAGAAGCTAATGCTAAGAGGCTAGTTGCCTAAACATGGACTCACCAACTCTGCTTCTACGCTCATACGCAGCTCAGATGACAAGTACCTGGCACTGGTAATCGGCTCCATAAAGTTGGTGAATAGGAAGTTAGTTTATGATCCCATCAGAACCGCATTACAGGTGAAAACAAGAATCATAACATCCCCTCGCACCGGCGTATAACTAGAGCTAATTGGTCCGCAGGGATCACATGACCAGGAAGAGACCTCAGCGCAGCCAAAGAGCAACAGAGAGGAAGAGGATATAAAACTCTGCTAAAGTGCGTGTTTATTTACACTTCCGAAAGAATCTGATTTCCGTGACGAATCCAACAGCACAGCGCGCATAGTGTAAGTGCAGGGTTCGGGTTCGGCCAGAAACCGAACCCCGTCAAAAAAGCCAATATTCGGCCGAACCCGAATCCTGGATTCGGTACATCCCTACTTATTTGCGTTGTAAACTTCTTCAGGGACCAGATCAGTTATTTCAGAGGGCCATGAACCGAGATCCATAAAACTACATTGTTTTGTCTCTCAAATAGATGCAGAAAAGTCAGTGATTGAATAAATGTTTTTGTGCCCCAGGATTCTGTTCATAATCAGTAATGGCTCAGGGACTTTGGCTCAGGGACTTTGGCTCATGAACGCCCCACATCCACACAAATGGACTTTTCCTGCGCTCTGCATTCATACAGGGGCATTCTGCTGGATGTAGTGCAAAATGTTATATGTTATTACAGGCTGACTCTTATTGACAGAGAAAAAGTAAAAACTAGTGTTTTTTACATGTATTTTTAAGGTATATTCATTTGTTGCGCTGTTAAAAAAAGTGTTGCTCTTCTACAGTGATATTTTAATATTTGCTTTTAATATTGCTTTGTTTAAATGACTTTGCGCAGAGGCGACAGAAGAGTGGGAGGATGTGGAGGAGGAGGACATGGAGGAGGTGAGCTCGGAGGAGGAGGAGGAGGAGCAGATGGAGGAGACGGCCGCTGCTGAAGGGGTCCTGCCAGGGTCCATCCCCGTCACAGACTGCCTCTTCTGCCCGCACCACTCTCGCTCTCTGCTCAGGAATGTGGCCCACATGACCCACGTGCACGGCTTCTTCATCCCAGACATCGACTTCCTGGTGGACCTCCGAGGACTTGTTCAATACCTGGGTGATTTTTGGATTTTGGGAATTTCATGTTTTAGTAATTTAGGCAGAATATATTACAGAGAAAGTCATTCAAAAATATTGACCTGGACAAGATATTCCAGGTTTAAGTAGATAACACATGGATAAGCATATAAATATAATTCAGTTTAATGTATTTTTGTGTATCCCTAAATCAAGTCTCTGAGGACTTTACAAAGTTTAGAATTCGTCAACAACAGATCAGAGAATTGGACATATAGGAGCTGGATGACCACTGTCTATAAATGTAGATGTAGGCCAAAAAAAAGAGTGCAGCCCACTTGTCCGGGCCAGACCAAACTATACTACATTCTGCATTTACATTCTGCATTATTTACGTCTAAATCTAACGTGGGACGATGGAACTGAAGTTATGATGTTGTAAAGAAAGTTATTTGACTGGAGAAATTCCCAAAACTATAAAAAGGGCAGTGTATATGTCATATATGAAACGGCTCTGCCAATGACATGATATTCTGAGAATGGGCAGCAGTGAGTAAGGTGAGGACAATAACATTTATCATGAGAAGAATAACTGTTGTGGCACTATTTGTAGAATTTCGACAGTTAATCCCTAATTGAGAGAACATTGTATAATTTATTGTTTCTCTAATAACAGCGCTGATGGTTTTGCATTATTCCTTTTAATTTAGACAGCTACTTTGACTACTTTTACTCCAGCACTCTCAAATGAAACCTCTCCGTTCACAGGGGAGAAAGTTGGAGCCGGAAACGTGTGTCTTTGGTGTAACGAGAAAGGACGCTCGTTTTATTCCACTGAAGCCGTTCAGAGTCACATGACCGACAAGAGCCACTGTAAAGTCCTCACGGAGGGGGATGCCGCTCTGGAGTTTGCAGACTTCTATGACTTTAGGTAAATCTCCCAAATGCCCAAACCACCCCCCCCCACACACACACACATCCATACACTGGAATTAATTTGTCACTTCTCACTAGTAATTGCAATAGTTTTAAAGATCTGTAACATTTTAGAACATAGCAGATACATATGCACTGAACAGAGACAAACACTTTGACAGAATACAACATGGGAAACATACATCCCACGACGATCACATGCGATAATTGAATGACAATCTCCAATCAGTGCTTTGTGCTGTGCCTTTGTATATGAACTTAAGGCCCTGTTTCCACCAGCCCTACTTGGGCCCTACTCTGCGGAGGGCTTTGCTTAATGAAAAAGGGGCCTGTGTGATTGTCCTGTGCTGTGGTGAACAGGGGCAGTTACCCGGAGGACGGGATTGAGACGGACGAGCTTCCAGAAGACAAGACCCTGCAGTTTGATGAGGACACTCTGCAGCTCACACTGCCCTCAGGTGAAGCCAGCTGCCCTTCCTGTTGCTTTCATTCTCTTCTCTCTGAAAAAAACAAACATAGGATGTGTGCTTTACATCCATGAGTTTAGGCATTAATGAACTATTCTGATCATATTGTGTGCTTTTAGGTGCGGTGGTCGGTCACCGGTCTCTCATGACGTACTACAAGCAGCGCTTCGGAACCCAGCGCCCTGTGGCTCTGGCCCACAATCAGAACGCTGTGGGCAGAGTGCTGCGTCAGTACAGAGCTCTGGGCTGGACAGGAGAGTCGGGTAATTCTACATCAGGTTTTGTAACATTTGTGATCAATGGGCATGAGCTCTTCTCAAACACCAGGCCCAGTGACCTGGCCTGGACAGGACCAGTCTAAGTGAAATGTAACAAAAACAAATCTCTGTCTCGTCATAGACCTATATGTCGTCAGGGCTGTGATCAGGACAAGTTGAGGCTAATACAGCGCGTCTGAACTTGGAATTATTTATAGTTCCCACGACGTCGTGTGGCACTGATGCACTGCTCGTTTGTAGAATCTGTGAGCAGACGCATCAGTTGCTCATTTAGCACACATTTGTTTGCGTGGCACATTTAGCACACATTTGTTTGCGTGGCACATTTAGCACACATTTGTTTGCGTGGCGCACTTGTGGAGAGTTCGCACACCAGCAGCATCAGCGTGTCTGTGATAACCCAAAAACAAAACATGACATAAGAGCATTGTTAGAATGTTAGACAGAAAAAAACAATTGTGTGAGAAAATACAGGTGCACACAGGAGGGAGGGAGGGACCTTCGTCTGGGGTTTCAATTAATTGTGAATAAATGTAACCTATGACTTTTGCGAGTTTGGACTTGAACGTTTCCCAAACCATTCGTTTCAGGCCATTCCCAAATGCAGAGGCAGAGGGACATGCAGTACGTCCGGATTCTGAAGTCCAAATGGATGCTGAAGATGGGAATGACCCACAACAGCACAAAGCAGAAGCACTTCAGAGCTCAGGTCATGTTTTAGGCTCTGCCCAAGGACTCGAGGCTCCGGCACCGGATGGATGCATCATGTTTGCCAGAGACTTGTTTATTCTTTCACATTGTTTCAACAAGTCTGAACTTTCAATAACAGTAAACCCATGTAGTTGCTTTAACAACAGAGTGATGCAGCCCTCCCCCGTTCTGATACTGCTACACTTTGTTTTGACCAATAGGGCTGCAGGGATTCACATTGAGATGGTGTTACTAACGGGACTGATACAGACTCTAAAGCAGAAGTCAAACGACCTACTTCAACCATGGCGGCTGCATTAAATATATCAACTAGACATGTTTGATCAATACTTCTCTATATACTCTTATATTTTACATGTCGAGAAGTATTACTTGTCAAATTAATAAAAGTTCAAATATTTCAGTTCAGTCATTTTGGTTCAACATGATTTAACAACAAATGCATAACAACTAGAACATCTGTTGGTTGCGATCAGGTCCTGTGTGTAAACAAAATGAAAACTATCGGAGAACCGATATGGGGTCCTCCGCAGCAGAGACGGCTCCCTCGTCCTAAAACCCATGACCGGGAGGAGCCTTCAGTAAGATGAGATAAGATAAACTGGGAAATTTTCTGTGGGATACAGTGCTACGCAGATCTGAACACAATGAAGACAAATTAAAAGGACCATTAGAGAAACAAACCGAAAAGTGGTGTAGTAGGGTTTTAGAGTTGTACCTTGCCGATGCAGAAGGTCTGTTGGACAGTTCAAATCTAGCAAGAAGGTGATGATCATAACATTTTACAGTTATCAACTTTCATGGACATTGGTCTCTCCCTATGGACCAATACCTGTGTTCTATATTTTTTGTGTTTGAACTGTTTGTTTCTCTGATCTGTGTTGGCAATTTCAACAGTTTTGTGAAGTCTTCTGAGATGACTGCTGTTGTGATTTGGGCTATACAAGAATAAATTAAATTGAATTGAGTAGTGCTTTTAAGTCAGTTTGGTCCAATTCTACATCAAAATAAATAACAGTTCCAGTATTAACAACAGGTTTAACAACATTTCAGCCATGACACATGAGTGAACAATGTCTTTGTTCATGCACATGCGATCACAAACGTTATACCAATCAAACCTGTCTTCAGTTTAGGTGACACAGAAGTTCCCTCCCTCCAGTTGATCTAAGAGGAGACCACACTCTCACTGGCTCAAAAAATTGTCGGTGACCACCAACGCGTCCCACTTTAGGGTTGTGGGACACAGGACAAACCGTTTCAAGCTCTCCTTTTTCCCAACAGTGGGCCCTTTAAACAAAAATAACTAATAAAGAATACATCTTAAAACGGTTTCAACTCTACAGTTTAATGCTGCTGCTTTCATTTCTAATTGTATTTAATCAAGGATTCTAATGCGAGTCTATTGCAGAATTTCTATTTCCTTTACCGTACCCACAGGTTTTGAATTGTCATAAACAAAATGTCAATACATCCAAATCATTTCTATTGAATAAAAATGGTGTATTGCTTTCCTGACGGATGATTTATTTCATTAGGTCAACTATCTTTCATTCAAGCCAACAATTGATATTCATTTATTATTTTATCTTCATCCATTTTATCCCATTATGTTATCTAACCTTGTTGACTTGTAATATCCATGAGAAAAAGAAGGAAATCTTAAAGAATTATTTTCAAACCCCACTCCGTTGCATCCATAACTTCTTCAGATCATGTAGAACAATATCATTCAAACTCATTGTGCATTAGGGCCTTCATATAGTTGATAAGTAAAGGCCAAGTTTAAATCTACCTCTGCTTGACACAGAATACATTTCAACTCTGTTACTATTTTGTGGTAATGGAGTTGAATTTTTCTAATACGTTTACAAAAATAAATGGTTTTTCCCTGCTGATTATTTGTATGTTTCTCTGCAGGGTTCATCTACCCTTTATTACAAACATCTAATCATCTCTGGAAGTATTAGTTATTCTACAAATTGAATACAAAGTTTGTCCCATAATGAGAATATCACCAATGTACAGTTTTAAAATATAGGCTTGTGGCGTGAATAGATTAGTACATTATAAACACAACAATTATTGCCCTCAAAACCATCAAAAGTATGCAGATGGGTATGCTCACCTTAAAATGAGTTTCTTTTGCTTTTGGTGCAAGGGATTTATATAATATATAATATTTTGCTTTCAATATTCGTGCTTTTTGAAGAAATTGTGCATTGCATTCATATACTGTAAATATTCATGTAATATTTCAGTGTCAGTGTCCTCCTCGTCGGCAGAGGGCGCTCGTCTCCTCCCTCTGCCTCCCTCTGCACATGTATACTTCCTCCCTCCCCTCTGACCCCAAACACCCCTCATCAGAAGCATGTTGTCACCGCTGCTCCCCGTCCTCCCCCGGCTCCTCCGCGGCTGTGCATCCGTCAGCAGAGTCCCTGTGTGCGGCCTCAGCTCCGGACGTCTCCCCGGGGTCCAGCGGCTGCTCCTGCCCGCAGTGTCGAGGTCACTCTGCGGCAGAGAGGTACCAGGACCAGTGACGTGTGTGTCCGTGACCATGTGTCTGTGACCAGTAAATATGTGTGTGTGACCATGTCTGTGACCATGTGTGTCTGTGACTGTGTATCTGTGACCAGTAAATATGTGTGTCTGTGACCATGTGTGTCTGTGACCAGTAAATATGTGTGTCTGTGACCATGTGTGTCTGTGACCAGTAAATATGTGTGTCTGTGACCATGTGTGTCTGTGACCAGTAAATATGTGTGTCTGTGACCATGTGTGTCTGTGACCAGTAAATATGTGTGTCTGTGACCATGTGTATGTGTGACCAGTAAATATGTGTGTCTGTGACCATGTGTGTCTGTGACCAGTAAATATGTGTGTCTGTGACCAGCAAATATGTGTGTCTGTGACCATGTGTGTCTATGACCAGTAAATATGTGTGTCTGTGACCATGTGTGTCTGTGACCATGTGTGTCTGTGACCAGTAAATATGTGTGTCTGTGACCAGTAAATATGTGTGTCTGTGACCATGTGTGTCTGTGACCATGTGTGTCTATGACCAGTAAATATGTGTGTCTGTGACCATGTGTGTCTGTGACCAGTAAATATGTGTGTCTGTGACCATGTGTGTCTGTGACCAGTAAATATGTGTGTCTGTGACCATGTGTGTCTGACCAGTAAATATGTGTGTCTGTGACCATGTGTGTCTGTGACCAGTAAATATGTGTGTCTGTGACCATGTGTGTCTGTGACCATGTGTGTCTGTGACCAGTAAATATGTGTGTCTGTGACCATGTGTGTCTGTGACTAGTAAATATGTGTGTCTGTGACCATGTGTGTCTGTGACCAGTAAATATTTGTGTCTGTGACCATGTGTGTCTGTGACTAGTAAATATGTGTGTCTGTGACCATGTGTGTCTGTGACCAGTAAATATGTGTGTCTGTGACCATGTGTGTCTGTGACCATGTGTGTCTATGACCAGTAAATATGTGTGTCTGTGACCATGTGTGTCTGTGACCAGTAAATATGTGTGTCTGTGACCATGTGTGTCTGTGACCAGTAAATATGTGTGTCTGTGACCATGTGTGTCTGTGACCAGTAAATATGTGTGTCTGTGACCAGTAAATATGTGTGTCTGTGACCATGTGTGTCTGTGACCATGTGTGTCTGTGACTAGTAAATATGTGTGTCTGTGACCATGTGTGTCTGTGACCAGTAAATATGTGTGTCTGTGACCATGTGTGTCTGTGACCATGTGTGTCTGTGACTAGTAAATATGTGTGTCTGTGACCATGTGCGTCTGTGACCAGTAAATATGTGTGTCTGTGACCATGTGTGTCTGTGACTAGTAAATATGTGTGTCTGTGACCATGTGTGTCTGTGACCATGTGTGTCTGTGACCAGTAAATATGTGTGTCTGTGACCATGTGTGTCTGTGACCATGTGTGTCTGTGACCATGTGTGTCTATGACCAGTAAATATATGTGTGTCTGTGACCATGTGTGTCTGTGACCAGTAAATATGTGTGTCTGTGACCATGTGTGTCTGTGACCAGTAAATATGTGTGTCTGTGACCATGTGTGTGACTTTTGTGACCATGTGTGTCTGTGACCAGTAAATATGTGTGTCTGTGACCATGTGTGTCTGTGACCAGTAAATATGTGTGTCTGTGACCATGTGCGTCTGTGACCAGTAAATATGTGTGTCTGTGACCATGTGTGTCTGTGACCATGTGTGTCTGTGACCAGTAAATATGTGTGTCTGTGACCATGTGTGTCTGTGACTAGTAAATATGTGTGTCTGTGACCATGTGTGTCTGTGACCAGTAAATATGTGTGTCTGTGACCATGTGTGTCTGTGACTAGTAAATATGTGTGTCTGTGACCAGTAAATATGTGTCTGTGACCATGTGTGTCTGTGACCAGTAAATATGTGTGTCTGTGACCATGTGTATGTGTGACCAGTAAATATGTGTGTCTGTGACCATGTGTGTCTGTGACCAGTAAATATGTGTGTCTGTGACCATGTGTGTCTGTGACCAGTAAATATGTGTGTCTGTGACCAGTAAATATGTGTGTCTGTGACCATGTGTGTCTGTGACCAGTAAATATGTGTGTCTGTGACCAGTAAATATGTGTGTCTGTGACCATGTGGCTGGTGCTATGAGACTTGGGTGGCATCTCTGATTGCCACCCCCCTGACCCAGAAATGGATTAAAGGGTAGAAAATGGATGGATGGATGGATGTGACCATGTGTATCTGTGACCAGTGAACATGTCTGTGACCATGTGTGTCTGTGACCAGTGAACAGTGACCATGTGTGTCTGTCACCAGTGACCATGTCTGTGACCAGTGGAGTCCTCCCTCGAGCATTACTCTGGGACAGTGTTTTATGGTAGATGAGCTCAGATATTGGTTTCAGTGATGTCTCGATGGTTTCTGTTTCCTTGAAAGATTCTGGTCTTGGTTCAGTTTTGGGGACGACCGTCTGTGGGAGAGAATTAACTCTCTTCATCTGAAGTCTGTGAATCTTTGAACATTTAGACTTTTAGAGATGGTTCTGTAACTTTTCTCAGTTTTATACAAATCAATAATTATTTTTATAGCCTTCAATATAGATTTGACACCAGATTATGTTCAGAAACATAATCTCTCCTTTAAACATTTAAAGGAGCAGTATGTAAAAATCTGGCCAAAAGTGGTGCTGCAGCCTCTCCCACTCTCCCTGACTCAGGTTGCCAGATATGCAGACGAATCCACCTGGGACCATAATAACTGAAAATACAAGAGTTTTGTCAACATTAAATCTATAGCCAACACCTTTTTCACAAAGGCATCCCTCGTTTGATTCATTGTTTTGTCATTAATGATTTGAGAATCATAACAAGACCTTTTTAGTACTGCGGACTGACATGTTACCAGTGAGATTAGCGCGACACAGTGAGCTCTGGCAACTCAAATCACAGACTTTCTGATTGTTTACACGGTGGAGGGCAGGACATCAAAATGAAAACGATAAAAAGATTTAGGGGCTTTAAATCCAATTTTGAAATTCAATTATCTCTGAACTACTGTGATCAGATAAATAAGTATTTGAAAAGCGCATGTTTTATTAAAGTCTTTTGACAGATTAGGCCCCTTTAATGATGACTAAGCGTGAGAATCTATGTTGCTACTTTAAAGAAGTGAAGCAAAAAACAAACTGAGTGTTTTCATGAGTTATATAACAGTGACATGTGTGATGTGTTTGCAGAGCTGGAGTTGCCGTGTGCGTGGATTCTGTCCTCCGTCTCGTGGGGTGTCCTCGGGGGGGTCCTCGGGGGGGCAGTCTCCAGAGGGCCAGCTCATCTACACAGGCAGCCTGGCAACCGCTGTTCGAGGTCAGCCACCCACCCTCCAGAAAAAAATGTCTTTCTAATATTCTCACATTATTTTGGGTTATTGTATTGTATGTTTACCACTTGGGAAATAAAATATCCAAAGGCGCCAAACAACATCTCAAGGCACACTAACCTGCCACGGCCCACTGGTTGAAAAACACTGCACTTGAGTTACAAAAAGACACAGTAGAGTAACATAAAGCTCAGATGTAAAGTACCAGAGTAACTATTAATACTGAACAGAACTGATTTTTCCCCTCATCACTATATACAGTATTTCTTGCACTTCAAAATAGTAGACATTTTTATACTTCTTTAACAGACTAAAGTCAGATTTTGTACTTAATTCTTGTATCTTCTTCATTTTGCTAAAGTTGGAGATAATAGTTTGCTTCCTTATTACGCTAAAGCCAGAGATGTTATGTTATGTTATTTCCTTTAGTGGAGGGTTTACTATAGAGTTTTTTATTTATTCCTTTATCTCATCTTTAGCCTGGCCTTATGCCGCGTTCAGACCGCAAACCCTCAAACGCTGAAGCCCCTCTCACCAGACGCGCATTCTCTAGTTTGCAGACGCAGAGGACTTCACACCAGAACGTCCTGACCAGCGCCGGAAGTGCCAGAAGTAGCCGGCCGGCTCTGATGCTAACAGAGTTATGCTAGCGGCTTCTCGTGTAAAGATCTTCTCCAATAATGCAGCTTGGCAGGGTGTCTGTGTTCAGAGACCTTCCACGGACTTTATATACTGTAACAGTAGTATGTGTTCACAGATGTGCGCAATAAGTTTATTTTATTATCAAACGTACTTCCGCACGAGCAGGACAACGCATATTTTCACAAGCACAGAGTCCCCCATTGTCAACCCTGGTTTGAGTTCTGGTGAAGCCTGCTCCTGGGTCCTGTTTTGGCTGTTAACAGTATTTTCAGTCTGCTTGCTCAGTCCGCTAATGTCCCAGTGACCAATTAGCAGCTCTCTGATTGGTTGTCGCACGAACGTCCCAAGGAAAGGATGAGCAGAATCCATCTCCTGTGGGCGTTGATTTTTCGCTCCTGCTCCTCCCCTTTGACTTTCCCGCCAAGTCCGTGCGTCTCTACTGAACAGTCCGTCCGTGCGTGCCGAGAGGTCCGTGTGTTGTGACGCTGCAACGCGCGTCACCATAGACTTTGCATTGAAACCCGACGCAACGCATGATCCGGTCTGAACGCGCCATTAGCGGCAAAGGAGATAGCATTTAGCATTTAGCCTAGCCAACAACAGAGGGGGGGCTTTACATACGGCACGGTAAACTCAGATCCAATCGTTTCAATCTGCAAAAGGAGTTAACCCCTCCCACCTGTAAACGGAGCTCAATGGAGCACCTCCATAACCTGGCAAGAGCCAGATTGATGATTGTGTAGAACTCTAATGCGTTCTCCACAATATCAATCTGGGACTTCTGCAGGAGAATCCTTTCGGGGAAAGGAGGGATAAGCAGCAGAATACTTCAAGCTGATTGGGCGAAGTGACGCTGTGTGCCTGCCTACCAAGGTTTGACTTAAACCAATGCCGGTAACATCTTTGCCGTCCAAAAATGCACAAAGCGCCTCTCGCTGTTCATCTTTCAAAAAAGAAATTGGAGATTCTGCTAAAACTGACTTGATAGCCTCAGCTACGCGTCTGTCCTCCTGCGTAGCCATGTTTGTTTTGCTTCGGCCCGGCACTTCTTGCTTTTGTCAAACCCGGATATCCCGCCCTAAACCCCCAGACTGGCGCGTGATTGGCTTGAACACCTAGATGTTCTACTTGAAAAGGGTTGGCGGGAGCGGGGCAAGATGTATTCTCGAGTGTTTGTGAACTCAAAAATACCGCGAGAATTCAGCTTGCATGCAAGGTTAGCACCTCCAGACCTTAGTACGAAATGTCATTTGTACTATGGTGTGGTACGACCAGGCTAGCTCATCTTGTGTGCTGAGTTCATTTATCTTGTGCTTGTGCTCCTTGTTCCTACTGTCTGTAACTGGTGATGCAACACTGAAATGTCCCCACTGTGAAGGATCTCTTCATCATAATCCCTAATATTAACCCTGTGACCTGTGTGTGTGTGTGTGTGTGTGTGTGTGTGTGTGTGTGTGTGTGTGTGTGTGTGTCAGGTGTGAAGGCCTTCTCCTACAGCACCAGTGGAGCTGCCCTGCTGCTCATGCCTCAGGTCCTGCTGACCACGGGCCTGGAGGCTCACAGCTGGGTCTTCCAGGTCTTCTTCTGCTCCGTCATCGGCGCCTTCACTCTGGTCACGCCCGTCCTGCTGCACTTGCTGACCCGAGGGTACGTGGTGCGGCTGTATCACGAGGCGGAGGGCGACACTTACACGGCGGTCACCTACAGCGTCCTGCTCCAGGAGAAGAGGACGGTGTTCGGGCAGCAGGAGGTGCAGATCCCCGCGGTCTCCAGGATGTTCACCAGCTTCTATGCAGGCCGCATGGGGCTCCTGGTGAACCCCGAGCTCTTCAGACTCCCTCAGGACTACAACCACCTCATGGGCTACGACAAACCCTTCAACTTCAGCCCGGATCAGCTGGACTGAGGAGCAGAGGAGCAGAGGACTGAGGAGCAGAGGACTGAGGAGCAGAGGACTGAGGAGCAGAGGACTGAGGAGCAGAGGACTGAGGAGCAGAGGACTGAGGAGCAGAGGACTGAGGAGCAGAGGACTGAGGACTGAGGAGCAGAGGACTGAGGAGCAGAGGGCTCTACAGACACGACTGCTTCTAAAACGCCTTAGTCATCAGGACTTTGAAAAAGTTCAAATACTCTAAATGTAATAATAACACATTTTTTCAATGTCCCGGATTATCAATGTCCCGGATTATCACTGTCCTTAGATCCTCCTGCATCAGCCAAGAACACCAATAAAAATAGTGGGGAAAAATTGATAAACCTCTAAGAAGCCCATACTGAGAACCAGGACTCAGGCTGTAGACCCAGGACTGAGGCTGTAGACCCAGGACTGAGGCTGTAGACCCAGGACTGGGTCTACAGCCTCAGTCCTGGGTCTACAGTCCTGGGTCTGTCCCAGGACTGAGGCTGTAGACCAAGGACTGAGGCTTTCCAGAGCTTGTTAAATCCAATCTTTGTGGTTGTAAACATGACAAAAGATGAAGTGTACTTTTGAAACCCTGATCTTGGCCTGAAGACTTCCAGAACCCCGTAATCTTTATTAGTTATAATAATATAAATTCCAATAATCATTTGGAAACAAACATGTTCTGCTGATCCTTTGAACTGTCGGATCTGCTCAAATAAAGAGTTTTGTATTTATTGATCAGAGACTGTCGATCCTTTTCGAACCTTATGTTTCTAAATGTGTCTAAAAGAAAATACAGAAGGATGATGTTGTTTGCAGATTCTAACTTTATTTTTATTATATTGTGAGTGATTAATTTTACATAATTCCTTTAATAAACTATTTGAGCATTATTACTGATATGATAAAGCTAGAATAGTATAGTTCAGGATGTGGTTTTATTTAGAGTAATCTCTGAGATGTCTGTAGTACACCACAGCACCTAAGCTAACAAAACAAAAGATCCTCAAACACTGCTCTTGTCCTCAGGGTTTCCTCTGCAGGGACCGTGTGGCCAGCAGGGGGCGCCACCTGCATCATGTCTGCTGACCTGTATTGTACACCAGGGGTTTCTGTTACAGACCAATAGTAAAATTGTGCCGAGAAATGATCCGAGTTATTTTTACCCCGGAGTGAGATGCCTGCAGTGTGAAGACACCAGGCGCAGGGAGGAAGGAGGTCCACTTTCAGTCCTCAGGCTTTTACAGAAATATCATTTAGTTTTTACATTTCCCAATGACAGAAAACTATCTTCAAACATTCACAACAAACTATCAATTGAAGAACTGCTGAGATAACCATTGGAATGTGTGTTTTTATGGGCCAGGAATGGATAAGAAAAACTAACCTGAACCGGCTGCAGCTGTAAAGTGCCAAATGATTGGTTGCACAGTGTGTTGTCAGTGTGTTCAAGAGCAGCGCTGGCTACAGTAGTAGTCATGCAGTGACTTCATTATTTGTATTTATTTATTTGGGCATGAGCTGTTAAAAAAAAAAAAAGATTGTTGCGAATTTCCATCTGTTGTCCCACTGTCACTCAGAAACTCATTCAACCCTCACCTATTGTACATGTTTTTAGTGGTTGGGGAAACCGGAGTACCTGGAGGAAACCTACGCAGACGCGGGGAGAAGATGCAAAGTCCACACACAAAGGTCTTGGAGGTGGGAATGAACTACATTGCCCTTTATAAAACCCTAATAAGTTGTCAAGCAATGTTGTAAGTTTGTTTGTGTTAATAGTTTTGTAAAAAATTAAGAAAAAAGGCGTGACAGTAGCTAGTTGGTAGAGCATTGTCCTTTGAGCCTGGAGGTCGTGGGTTCGATCCCACCTTGAGACCTGCTCCTACTGATGTATGCAGTTTTTGTGTCCTTGGGCAAGACACTTAACCCCACTTTGCCTGAAGATCAGAAGACTGTCATCGCTGATGGAGCAGCCTTCATCCTGGGACCACCCACCTGCCTGAGGATCAGTGAGGGGCGGGTGCTATGAGCATTGGGTGCAGCTCTGTTTTCCAACCCCCACACCCATGAATCCATAATTCTAAAAGTTACTAACAATATTAATAAAATGCAACAGCAGCAGAGCTGGTGCAGCCGCCGGAAATGAGCTGCTTCCTATGGTTGATGTCTGCAGATCTGCTTGGTTCGGACTATTTTCTTTGCTCTGGTTCAGAGTTAAATTCTGAATGCTTTATTAGCATTTATTTAAAAGAAAAGCTTTATTATAATTCTTATTAATTAAAGCTTGAGCAGCTTGGTTTGGTGCCGTGCATCCTCTGCTCTGCTCTGGATCACTGTAAAACCATGTACATGAAAAAAGGAAGAAAAATATCAATTACCATCCTAGCTAAAAACATTGGCAGCTCCGGTTCTCCTGACCAATTACAGCCGAGCGGATCAGAGCGGGTCGAGAGCAAACAGAGTTTGTTGCACTAAAGTGTAGGTTTATCGAAAACCGATTAATTTGAAAAGAAAAAAAGTTCTTGCGACAGGAGACCGTAAAATCCCCCCCAAAACATTGTAGGTTCCCAGTCCACTGAGGACGAGTTGTTTTAGTTCTCATTGAGGTCTATGTGGATTTAAACTGCAGTACCGCGGGAGGCCTCTAGTCTATGTGGAGACTGATTAAGCTGCAACACATTATCCAGATATTATATACAATATCAAACATCTATGTATCTATCTTGTGGGCTGAGCTGTCGTGTGGCTTCCTCCCAGAGCTCCGCACACAGAAGTGATGACCGCTGAAATTGGAGACACCCCCCTGAGTACACCTGTTTGAGGTTTGACACATGTCAGCCGCACTCTGAAACCAATGCTGCTTGACCTTGGTCATTCTCAACCGAAATACCTCCTCAGAGTGCTGCTTGCAAGAGGAACTTTAGCCGAATCTTTCCTCTGGACGCTGGGAGACATCCGGGGGCCTCCACAAAGAGCTCATACAGAAACAATGCCCTGAAGAAGTGAGCGGCCCCTGGTGTCACAGTGTTGCCAAGAATGAGTCGTGTGTGTGAATGGTTGGTGGTGATCTGTCCCAGGGCAGCTGTGGCAACAGTAGTAGTTTATCCCCCTATGTATGGATGGAGTGAATAAATAACCCCATGTGAGGGGTCTATGAGTGTCCAAAAAGCATTGTATAAAACCAATACATTATCACTGAACCTTCTGACCCTGATCATAAGTCTCCATCCCCCAGTTCTCCGTAGTGTTTGATGCCCTTTAACAATCTTTGACAAGTCTTCTGTGGTATTGTTAATGAGGTTCTTTATCCTCTCTGATGGTAAAAAACCTTCAGTTCCTGTAAATTCCTGGGTTGCCTTGGATGTTTAAGGGGGGTTTATCCCTGGGTTAAATGTTCATGTTAGATTTGATAAGTTGTGATTTCAAGCATCTCTACTGTCTGTTTGATCTGCATCAGCTTCTGATGGACTCTGATCAATTTCCCCACAAAGGAAAAATTATCTCTCTTTCAATCACTCGATGAACTGAGTGTCTCAGTCATTTTGATCATAGACGACACGACATTTTGACAATGCTTGCCTTCAGACAATCACAACCGATGAGTGGGAAAGAAGAGTTTGTGTTATCATCAAAGCTCTATATCAGAGGTCGGGAACTTTTTTAGCCGAGAAATACATATGCTGAAAAGATTATGATGATCATCTTTGTATTAATTCTGGACACAAACGTATTCATATTTGCTTCAGACCTGGGCTTGTCGTTTAGTCCTAGTGAGTTTCTCTTTGTCCTTGTCAAAATATGTACAAATTCATAGAAGTCAGAAAAAGTCACAGGAAAAACATTTTTAAGTCTTTCCGAGCCAAAAAAGGTTTGTCTGAGAGCCAGACACAATCATCAATATAAATGGATGAGGCTAACCTGCTAGTTCAATAAAGCCTAAATAGGGAAGTGCCCATGGACAAAGTTTTGATCCAACTCTCTCTCTCTCTCCTGCTCCTATTGACTTAAAGCTCAGTGACTGTGTCACACTCACCATTTTGGGCTCAACAAATCTGTGGTTTATCGCTCTCCATGATCCCGGTGTTTATATTTCAATATTGTCTTTGTAAATCTATACATGGTATATAAGTATTGACCAATCAGATGCCTTTATTCACAGGGGAGACTCCAGCTTGCCGTAGCAACCATCTTGGCAACACGTCTTCCCCCTGTTATGGCTAAGACAAATCAACATAGACCAACATAGAGTTTGGTTTTCACTAACACTACACACTGCTGGCCTGCTTCTGTTCACCAAAATAGTCGCCTTGGTGCAGACAGCAGCTGCTCTGCCTGGAGACAAGACAGTGCAGTTCAGTTTTTATATTAGAATGTTGGGTTTAAGTCTTTGTTTTTAGAGAGGAGGGAGTTTTCCAGCATGAACTATACCTTGTGTACGTTATACATACTTATTTGTTTATTGCTACTATAATTACAAGTTTTGCAGCATAGATTTATTCTATGTGTGCTTTTTGAAATGTCCGTCTCTTGATGCGGGTGCATGGTCTTAACAGTCCAGTGAAGCGTGCTGCCATTTTAAATTACCTCTGCAGCCAGAAAATTAAAATTGCAATACTTCTGAAAACCCATTTAGGTTCCCATTGGTGTGGGTGAGGAGGCGGGCTGCAAAGTTCTGGATGTATTGGAGTTTTTCGAGATGAGAGGTGGGAAGTCCGTAGAGGAGGCTGTTGCAGTAGTCGAGTCTGGAGGTGATGTATGCATGGATGAGGATTTCGGCTGTTGACTGGGTAAGGGAGGGGCGGAGGCGGGCAATGTTGCGGAGGTGGAAGAAGGAGGTTTTGGTGATGTGTTTGGTATGAGAGGGTGGAGTCCATTATGAGGCCGAGGTTGCGTACAGAGGATGAGGGGGTGACAGTGTGACCGTCAATAAGGAGGGTAAAGTTCTGGACAGAGGGCAGGAGAGATTTGGGGCTGATGATGAGGAGTTCTGTTTTGTTACTGTT